CATCAACAGTGGGAACACAGGAATGTAAGAACGCATAGAATCATCAGTCAAGTTCTACTATCTTCAAAACGCTTCCCATAGCACTGATTACAACACTCTACCAAGACTTTTTTTATTGGGTAATAAATTCAATTCTCTCATCCTTATCAGTCATTCAACACTTTTACCACCGTTGATCTTTGTTGTCTCCTTGCTTCACTGAGTCAATATAACTTTGTTGTAGAACCTGTGACTTTGTTAAATATTTATCTCCCCTTTAAAATTTTAAATACTTCAGTAAGATCAGTCTTGATCCTTCTTCTCTCCAGTGTAAACATTCTGCACTCCTGCAGTCTCTCTTCATATCTCAAGTGGCTAATCCTAGCTATCAATTTAGTTGGCCTTTGCTGCCCCTTTGGCAATTTGTGAATATCTTTCTCATTGGACAGTGAACACAATCGTGCACTGTGGTCCAGGTAGAGCTGACCTTTTGCTCCACTTAAGTTTTGGAATTACTTTTTAAGAACAGTGCTGTATTTATTTTACATGAGATCCTGGTTGATTTCTTTATAGCTGCTATGAACTGTACTAATGGCTTCCACAATTTATCTACTGGTTTGCCCAATTCCATCTCCAGATGTGAGAACATAGAACCATTAAGTGACATGTGATCATTTGGGGTCATTTTCATGAGAACCGAAGTCATAGTGCAATTCTATTGTCATAAAGCAATAGAAAGAAAAAACAAAACCTTGTACTTACGTCACATTTTTCATGCCACATGCCTGAAAACAGTCGAAAGGAATACTCGATCGGAGCTGTTGTATTGTCTAGGCATTTAAAAGTCCAGCCTTTAAAGGTTTGGCAAAAAACAGCTAGAGTGTAAAACAATTATTGTTTGCTATTTCACTATGTCTGTTAACTTAAGCCTGAGGATTCCATTACTGTATTACTACTGCTGCATGACTGATTTAATAACTTCCCATTATTCCAGTATGGTGACTTCCATTTTACAGCTTGATTGACATTCCAAGTGGTTGTAAACTCTTTGAAGTAGGACTATGAATTCCAATCTTCAAGCAGACTGGGAAAATCAAATTGGCAGAGGTAGTTATGAGAAAGAATTCTTACAGTATGTTCAGCATAGTTTACTAGAACAATATGCTCTGGATCCAACATAGCATTAGCCTATTTTGGATCTGGCAAAGTGAAATGAGGGAGGTTTAGTGAATTATCTTAAAGTAAAAGGTCATCTAGGGGACAGTGATCACAGCATGGTAGAACTGAGGATTCAGTTTGAGAAGGATAAACTTTGGTTGGAAACAAATGTGCTGAATTGAATAAGGGTAATTACATGGGGATGAGGACAGTGTTAGCAAATTAGACATGGAAAGGAATTGAACATAAAAGACAGTTGATGAACAATGACCAATGGTTTAAAAAAAACATGACTCACAGCAAAGATGTAGATTGGGAGAATCAGATTGGCAAAGATAGCCTAAATACTGAGTTCATGGTGTGTTTTCAGGACAATTCCTTAGACTAGTATATTGACTAGGATGGGATTAAACAGAACATGATTAGCCAGGAAGTTAAAGATAGCATCAATTTGAAAGAACAAAACATACAATGTGAAAAAGATTAATGGTAAATCAGAGGATTGGGAAAATATTAAAACCAAATAAAAGATAACCAAAACAAAAAATACATAAGAACAGTGAGCAAGACACTACCTTTAAACCTAGTGTTCCAGTCTATCTTAGCCAGCTCTGCCTTCATTCCCTCATAGTTATCTTCATTTCATTTTAAAAAAAACTCATCATGGACACACATTTTTCCCATCAAACTGAAAATGAAATTCCAACTTGCTGTGATCACATTCACCTTGAGCAATTTCGTCATTAAGTTATTGATTAATCCTGCCTAATAGTATGTGATTAAATATATGATACCCTGTTCCTGGTTCCAGACTATACTAGTCTAAGGAACTGTCCTGAAAACACACCATGAACTCAGTATGTATGCTATCTTTGCCAATCTGATTCTCCCAATCTACATGTAGATTGAAGGCCATTCGCGTTTATTGCAGTACATTTCTTACATGCCCTATATATTTTTTTCTGTACACATGTCCTATAGTATAAGTCTGTTAGAGGGCCTATGAACAACTCCCACAAGTGAACAATGACCTTTCTGTTTATTTTCACTCCCCAAACTGATTCTATATTTTGCTACTTCACGTTAAGGTCATATTTCAGTGCAGAGCTAATACCATCCTTGGTTGCCAATGGCTAATACTGCAGTGATGCAACCTGTGTCATAATTACAACAGCTGAAAGCGTGCACATTTTACATTTGGAGTTGTTCTGCTCCTAGATCAGCTGCTCAACAAGCTGGAGAGCCACACTGGTCCTTTTACATCGTCCATTGGTGCTATTTGTATTCTTCCCCAATCTCAGCTGAAGACTGACTATTGGGTCTGTAGCTGTGGGGTTTAAAATTAGAGTTTTCCATCTCATTGGAAGCTTGACAAACTTTGTTAATGAGCCGTACCTACCCAGAGCAGTTTGGCTTTGAGCGCCAGACACTTGCCTTCAAATGTCTACCACTTTTATAAATAGAGTTACCCTTGTAAAGCCAGGCTGTGTAAGTTTCATTATTACAACTTGCCTGAAATTCTGACCATATTATACCTCTTGTGAATGAAAATCATCTCCACTCTCCTTAGCATCCCAATCCTTCTAAACCTTGCTAAAACTACATCTGTTCATTGACTTGGGATCAATTGTGAAGTCTTGTATGGCCAGCTCAAAGCTAAACTCAACTATTAATGGGAGATGGCATCTTCCAAGTCTGGACAACTTCTAAGACATCTCCTGAGCCCTAACTCCAACACTTAGATGTACCTACTGAATCACAAAACTTATTCCGAAAAGTTCTGACTACACATAGCTATACAACTGCTCTTGACTTCTCAATGAGCCTCAACTATAATACTATTTTTGGACCTACTGATTCCTCCAACCTTTTCTAGAGTCCTAACTACACAGAGCAAGCAGCCCTAAATTACCTCAGTCAGCAGCACAGCTTAAGAGTTCTTTTCTGCATGAAGCCTGCATCTGTATTGCTCTGTTTTCAAACTCCAACTAACTGTAATCCTGGAACCGTTTTTCAGTGATCCTTAAACTGTTTTGTGTGATCTATCGGAAACCTTGCAACAAGATCCCTACTGCTAGGCAGAATTGAATTTAGTAACCCAACAGTCAAATGCAGCAATCCCTTCGAAACGATCTGTTCCCTGAATGTTACAATGTTCAAAGTGTGCTGGCTTCTTCAGCACAAATTGCATACAACAAAAATATGGAGTTCAGCACACTACAAAGAGTAGCAACTGATAATGGTCACTTGGATGAGCTACCAGATGGAAGCTGACGTCCTCACAAATATACGTTGATAACTATACAAAAGAGAGGCAGTGGAAACCAATTTCTAAGGAAAAGTGTACTGAAAATGCTTCCCTCAATTACACAAGACATCAAATTTCAATACTGCTGTGAGTGTGTTTTGCAGCACCAACACCATTTGCAGGTCTAGTTTTCTTTTATATAATGTTTTATAATCCCAATTGTTGATATTGGGCAATAAGGCTATCAGAATTATTCATATTAGTATTTCCAGTTAGTGCAACAACAAGGCATTCTCAAAAAGCCTGACATTGAGTGAGATAGAATGGGGTGGGTGAAGGGAATGTGGAATCTCTACGTGAGGAATAAGCTTTGCATTTCTAATGTATAACCTACTAAAATCAAGTTAAATGTATTAGTGATCCCACAGTGTTCTACACAGGTGTGCTTTAAAATTTAAAAAAAGTGAAATTTCCTGGATTGTACTGCTACAGAGACAATGCATGGCTTTTAACACTAATCTAGCATTCAAATTTCCTGAATCTTGTCAGCATCCAATAAAATGTAAAAGCAGTGTAAACCAAGCAAAAATTAACAGAAGCAAGCAATCCAGTTCTGAAAGTTAAAGTTTGAAGCCATCAAACCATTACTCGCACATGTTGAATGCAATATGTGTAGGGAAATACATGAATAGGGGTGCTTATGTCGGAGTAAACCATTTAGGACTGAGATGAGGATTAATTTCTTCACCCAGAAACTGGCGAACCTGTGGAATTTGCTATCAGAGAAGGCAGTTGAGGCCAAAACATTGTAAGATTTCAAGAAGGAGTTGTTTCTAGCACTTGAGGCTAAAGGGATCAAGTGATACAGGGAAAAAAGCAGGAACATGCTATTGAGTTGGATGATCAACCATGATCATGATGAATAGAGGAGCAGGCTCTAAGGGCCATACAGCTTACTCCTGCTCCTATTTTCTAGTATCTTGAAATGGAATGGTGCAAACTTCCCTCTTGTTAACAGAATATATGCAAAAAGCATTCAAAGCTATAAAAAGATTGATGCAGCTTTGCATAATATGAAATATACATAAAACAAACTGCTAATCACTTAAAATCACCCTAATGGTGACTTCAGGCATTACTTTACTTTTGGCCATCAGATTACACGTGTTCAGAATTTCAGGAACTGTACAGAGCAATCTCTGTACTTTTGTATGTGAGCAGAGCTATGTTAATAAACCAAGCGGGGTTCAGAGTATGAAAGGGAGCAGTGCATATGACCATGTCAATGTGTGCATACTGGGTGTTTTGGGGTAAAACCAGGGTGAATGATTTATCTTCATATTCCCAAGGAATATAAATGTGGAACAACTCTGTTCTAATACTGTCATTATTTTGAAACCTTCCCTGAAATTATGGGCGTCTGTATGCAAGGTACCAATCTAGTCAATTGAAATGATTGGCAACTCTAGTAGCGCTCAGCAAAGCCTGTGCTAAGTTGCATGTCACAGCATTCGCAAAAATTTGACTGACCTTATTTTGAATCTGAATGTATTTCTTGTTGATATTAACACATGTGGGACTCTGAATTTGTAGCTTAATTTTAAAGGGGACTCACCAATGCTGGAGTTAATGTCGCCATTTTCAGACTCTGCGCCATGCTGGTTACTGTTACCATGGAAGCTGTTCATGGCTTCTAATTTGATCTTTTTCGCCTTCATAGCCTCTGCTATGGCAGCATTGGTAGCTGCTGCAGCTGCAGCTGCTGCTGCTGCTGTAAGACCTGTTAAAGAGAAGACAAGACAAGAAAAAATATATGGTGAGATCGGCAAAAACTTCTAAGGTTAGCCCATGATGGCAGACATTAAAGGTGCATAAACTTCAGCTCATCCAAAACTCTGCTGGCTGTGTCCTGACTTGTCCATCCACCAGCCTTGTGTTCTCAGACCTCTCTCAATCTAACAATGCCCCTGGGTTTAAAGTTCTCATTCTATTTTTCAAATACCCCCATTGCTCTGCCCATTTCCATCTCAGTAATCCCCTCCAGTCACAGAACCCTCTGTGAGAGAGATCTCTATACTCCAGGACTGGCCTCTTGCATATAACCAATTTCAATTGCTCCAACCTGCCATTCCTATAGCTGATTAAACCACAAAGTCTGGAATTTCCTCCTTAAATCCATCCAACTCTCTATCTTGTTCTTCTCCTTTAAGATGTTTCTCGAAATTTACCTCTTTCAAACAGGTTTTTGGCCATCTAAGTATCTCCTACGTTGTTTGTTGGTAATTTTTACTTGTTAACAATTTATGTAGCCAGTTGTACTGCCTTAAAACCCAAATTATTGTTATTACTGTAATGCTCCCTCATGCCGAAGCAACAGCCAGCACTCAACCTCAAGATTACAATATGAAGTTAACCACTTGTTTTATATATTACAGGTGTGTCTTACCCCACTGCCTTAAATCTAGATGTGAATCACACTACCTTCAAGAAAGAAGGATGGAGAAGAATGTTGGAAATTTGTCATAACTCATCTAAACCCATTCCTACTGAACTGGAAGAATTGACTAGTTATGGAGCCTTTATGGTGTTTATTGTTCCATCTGTGCTATGTAATGAAAGACTCCAATCCCTAACCTCCTCATCTGAAGTCTGAGATTCACATCAGATTGGTTGTCAATGACAGATGCAAATCACCTGTTGCCACATAAATTGAAGCATGCATCAAATAGTTAATGGACCTTCGTAAAAGGGTAGGAATATGACATAAGTGTAAGGGTCTTGTGCTGTAATACTAGTATCACTACCTTTGGGCCTGAAGGTTTCTGGTACAAGCCCCACCTATTCTGGAAATGTATTATAACAGGTTGATTAAAAATAATGGTTAAAAGGCTCTGTGGCACAATGGTAAGTGTTCCTATCTCTGAGCCTGGAGGCCTGGTTCAAGACCCACCTGCTCCAGAGGTGTGTAATAATATCCCTGAACAGCTTGATTAGAAACTATCTACCTACAAGGTAATTGTGATGATAGGGCACTGGGATGGGAGAATGCAAGACAGATATGGTGTCAAGTATGTACAGAATTAGCTGGGGAGGTGGTAGGATCCCATCCAGTAGGATGTTAAATGGGTAGGAGGTTCAGACCATAAACACTGTCCTCCATTTTGATTACATTACAATACATCACCCCACTCCCACACACTTTCAGTATCTTGTTTGCACGGGTTTGCTCTCAGAAAAGCTGAGCTATTTTCTGACATTAACACCCTATTCTTCATTCATATCACTCCTCAACTACCATTAGTACACTTTTTTTGGTATGCTTTGGACACCCTCACTGTCTATTCCACTTGCTCTTTCATTCCTTTGTCAACAGCATAAAAACCATAATTTTTCAACTCCTTGCAGTTCAACAAAGAGTCATCTTAGACTTGAACGTCTAGCTCTGCTTCTCTCTTCATAAATGCTACAAACCTGATGAGTTTCTCCAGAACTTTCTGTTTTTATTTCAGATCTCCAGCATCCACAGTAGTTTGTTTTTTATTTGGAAGCTTCCTTTTATTAGAAAAACTGGCAGTTCTTTATTTATCATTCAGTTGGATAATGAAAAGACAATTTGTTTACCAACTGGCCAGGAAGGCTGTTGTTTTGAATATCGATACATTGAGGGGTCAATAGCAGGAATGCAGAGGTGAGGCAGTTAGATATATCATGGATAGTGACAACAAGGGGCAGAGCTGGATGAACACAGCAGACCAAGCAGCATCATAGGAGCAGAAAGGCTGACGTTTTGGGCCGAGACCCTTCATCAGAAATGGGGGAGGGGAAGGGGGTTCTGAAATAAATAGGGAGAGAGGGGGAGGCAGATAGAAGATGGATAGAGGAGAAGATAGGTGGAGAGGAAACAGACAGGTCAGGAGGCGGGGATGGAGCCAGTAAAGGTGAGTGTAGGTGGGGAGTTAGGGAGGGGATAGGTCAGTCCAGGGAGGACGGACAGGTCAAGGGGGCGGGATGAGGTTAGTAGGTAGGAGATGGGGGTGCGGCTTGAGGTGGGAGGAGGGGATAGGTGGGAGGAAGAACAGGTTAGGGAGGTGGGGACGAGCTGGGCTGGTTTTGGGATGCGGTCGGGGGAGGGGAGATTTTGAAGCTTGTGAAATCCACATTGATACCATTGGGCTGCAGGGTTCCCAAGCGGAATATGAGTTGCTGTTCCTGCAAACTTCGGGTGGCATCGTTGTGGCACTGCAGGAGGCCCAGGATGGACATGTCGTCTGAGGAATGGGAGGGGGAGTTGAAATGGTTCGCGATTGGGAGGTGCAGTTGTTTATTGCGAACCGAGCGTAGGTGTTCTGCAAAGCAATCCCCAAGCCTCCGCTTGGTTTCCCCGATGTGGAGGAGGCCACAACAGGTACAGCGGATGCAGTATACCACATTGGCAGATGTGCAGGTGAACAGCTGCTTGATGTGGAAAGTCTTCTTGGGGCCTGAGATGGGGGTGAGGGAGGAGGTATGGGGCCAGGTGTAGCACTTCCTGCGGTTGCAGGGAAAAGTGCCGGGTGTGGTGGGGCTGGAGGGGAGTGTGGAGCAGACAAGGGAGTCACGGAGAGAGTGGTCTCTCCGGAAAGCAGATAAGGGTGGGGAGGGAAAAATGTCTTTGGTGGTGGGGTCAGATTGCAGATGGCGGAAGTGTCGGAGGATGATGCGTTGGATCCGGAGGTTGGTGGGGTGGTACGTGAGGACGAGGGGGATTCTTTTTTGGTTGTTATTGCGGGGACGGGGTGTGAGGGATGAGTTGCGGGAAATGTGGGAGACACGGTCGAGGGCGTTCTCAACCACTGAGGAGGGAACGTTGCGGTCCTTGAAAAACGAGGATATCTGAGATGGACAGGAGTGGAATGCCTCATCCTGGGAACAGATGCGGCGGAGGCGAAGGATTTGGGAATAGGGGATGGCATTTTTGCAGGAAGGTGGGTGGGAGGAGGTGTATTCTAGGTAGCTGTGGGAGTCGGTGGGCTTGAAATGGATATCGGTTTCTAGGTGGTTGCCCGAGATGGAGACAGAGAGGTCCAGGAAGGAGAGAGAGGTATTAGAGATGGTCCAGGTGAACTTCAGGTTGGGGTGGAAGGTGTTGGTGAAGTGGATGAACTGTTCGAGCTCCTCGTGGGAGCACGAGGCAGCGCCGATACAGTCATCAATGTAACGGAGGAAGAGGTGGGGTTTACGGCCAGTGTAGGTACGGAAGAGGGATTGTTTCACGTAACCTACAAAGAGGCAGGCATAGCTTGGGCCCATGTGGGTACCCATGGTGCCTCCAGGATATCCAATCAGATTTGGTAATGTGGAGTCTTCATCATACACTACTCTGAATATTTGTACGTTACAAACTCATGGGGATAGGAAAAATTTATATTAATTAACATTGCTGCAAATATCACTTTACTCATTAAATACCGCTGCAAAAAATTGTTTTCTTTTGATGAATCTGTGTAGATTTTGTCAGCAGGATTTCTATAGCATATCATAGGTACACTCAAAGGAAGTTCCTCAAATACAGGAAGATGTAAGGAATCACTGGTTTTGCTGATTGGTTAAAAGGAGTGGAAGGATGCTTGCATGGAGCACAAGCAGCAGTATACAGCAGTTGGGCTGAATGGCCTGTTTTTATACTATGTACAGCTCGGTTGGAGAGTTTCAGGTACCAAGTTTGTTTGGCCTGAAGACAGCATCAAAAAAAAAAATGTTAAACATCTGTCTTTTCTTTTAATGTATTCATCATTTTAAACTGTGAAACATTCTATCACTGGAAATGATAATTAGTGATGAATTGAAGAGTCTATTCCATGATCGGTTGCTCCAAGCAAGGAGCCACACTTGCAGGGAACAAATTTTGCTCCCTGTGGTTTGCTGCATTCTCACAACAGCTCATCTTGGTCAAAGACACATTGGGTAGATTTGCTGCCAATGTGCTCTTTCCCGATAGGGATCTACAAGGCCTGGTCAGTCCAGTGTATAAAGCTATTCCCCCACCCAAATCCATACATCATTGGGAGGTGGGCAATGCACTCCTCAGCATCATTCCTTTCAGAGCCTAACACTCCTACTCAAAATTTCAGAGCAGGGATTGAGTCCATGGCTCCAAAGCCCCTTGACCACTCTGAAATCAACAGATGGATTTCCCAAAGCTATGGTCCCTTTAAGTTAAGTGTGCCCAAAAGCAGGCTCAGTGTGTGAAAATGTCATTCAAGAAAAGTTATGCACAGCATGAAAGAAAATTAGCTCAAGTGTAGTTATTTTGTCTTCCCTGCAGCATCTTGGCACCAATTCTCAACCATCCTTTATGATAATCATGTGACAGTGCTGTAAATTGAGCAATCTGGAAATCAGATCAGCAGCGAACAAAACACGTCTTTATTTCCAAAACATACTCGAGAGAAAGAAGGGGCATGAATAAAGTCATTTCAAGCCTCTATGCCTTTAAATAAGCAAAGTTTCAAGTGAGTCAGGCTATGTAATTTCACTAGGAGAAACGTGATCAAGGACCAGAAAGCAGAGACAGATGATTCCCCTTATCAAATGACATCTCACAGAAGTCTAGAAGGATCTCATAAGAAACTATTTATTGGATAATGTCTGGTGTTCTGACTCCTGTTTATTCAGAGATGCGGGCAGTTTTATAAATATCGCATCACTCAGCCAAAGTAAGCATCTCAGTGACATGAATCAGGAGCTGCCATTAGCAACAAAAATAAGTGCAGCTGCATAGATGGGAGGGGGTGAATAAAA